ATTAGGTGAATGTGATGATGTGAATTTATCTTGCTCTTTTGATTTGGTTTACCTAGCATGAATTGAGTTTGCATTTCCTGCTGTGGTTTGTGAACTGGACCTCTGCCCTCTCTTGTTTTCGAATTGACTTGAACTTGATTCTTTTCTTGCACTTGCCATTCTATTTTTCGAGCTGGTTCAGCGGCTTGTGAATTGTTGGACTTGGTCCTTCTTTTTTTATGAACATGGGCTGGTTTTGGCGCTTTGCGAATTGAATTCTTTATTCAATTTTGTGCATCCTGTGAGTTGTTTTGTTTATGCAATTTAGGTGCAGCTTATGAACTGTTTTGGCCTCAAGTCTTCTGATGCTGTTTTGATTCTTGTATTTCAGGTGTTGGATAGTTTCGAAAAACGGTTCAGACCTATTGGCATCTGGGTCTGAATTCGGATTGGCTGTGATGTTTACTTGATAGAACAGTCCATGTGGCTTAATCAATCCTTTCGGCAGAACCTTTTATTGGCCCAAACTTCTTTTCACTCTTTATCTTTCTCGGCTGCCCCTTAGATAAGAACAAATATTACCTGATCTGACGCCAATGGCACAGATCGGTAACGGGGGTAGGATGCGGCTTCGGTCGTGCCACTCCCGGCACTCGATGATGACGTTGTTCTGAGAGTGTCAAAGCATTTCTAACACTTTTCTTGCTTCTGTTCTGTTTTGTCTTTGTTGTGCAGGTAACCGGAAACGGAAATCATTGAGAACAAGGTTGAAGACTTTAGCTTTTTAGTCTTATGTCTTAGGATAGGAAAACAATGTAACTAGGATTCTCTTGTAACTTGTAAACAAAGAGTTCAAATGAAATAAAATTCAATATTTTCCTTCCATTCAATTTTCTCTCAATTTTCTTTTATGCCTTGAATGGTTTATGTTTCATAGGTCATGAACTTTGAAATATTTCACTGTTATGCAATAAAGATACCACTTATGCCCATCGCCTTTGAATGTTTGAACATACCATAAAACCTCAACTTCCCGTTCCAAGACATGATAACAAAAGGGAGAACTCGTGTTATGAATTGAGTTTGACATATTCTCTAAAACAACCTGATTAATCCCCGAATAAATTCAAACTGACTTTCGCTGATCACATAACTTCTCAAACAAACCCGACAATATCCACTTCATCTTCAATCCAAAATTGCGTATTACTAAGAGAAAAGAAACAGCTCAGGAATGTCTTAAACAAAAACCATAAGCAAAGAACGGCCCAAGTCTAGTTATGTCTTAAAACAAAAACCATAAGCGGCCAACATACAGGCACCTTGACCCGAGTGGCAAATAAATGCCTCAGAAATGATGTCTCAAAACTTGCGGTCTCCATGTAAAATGACCAAAATGCCCCTGGGGTAATTCCTGCAAACAAATTATGCTCCATGACTGGTTAGTGGTTAATGGATTCAAAATGAAATGCTATGCGAAATGACTGACTAAATGTAAGGGTAAAATTTGGGGTATTACAGTTATTAGCCAAGAAGAGTGTAAAATGATTGGCTAATGTGTATGTGATTGGTATTGGGGGATGAGGTGATCGACTCCATTTTCGGGATCCATGAGTCTTACAAGCATATTGCTTTAATGCTGCTCTCACCCAGTAGTCTCTTTTCTCATGTTACTCATTGTGTCTACCTACCCCTTTGAGAGTTGGCCTCAAGATATATATATATATATATATATATATATATATATATATATATATATATATATATATATATATATATATATATATATATATATATATATATATATATATATATATATATATATATATATATATATATATATATATATATATATATATATATATATATATATATATATATATATATATATATGCCATCCTTTACCTCTTACGAATAATAAGATTTCATGGTCATAATAAACATAATTGCCTATTAATTATTCGTAATGGACTTAATAAGTATTTGTAACCATTTATTAATTGTTATGTAACAGTTTTCGACCCTTAGTCTGCCTCTTAACTGTCAAGGAATTTGACCTTCCGACATCAGGGGTCGACTAACATTAAAAATATATATCCCAGTTAAGTAGAAATCCTGATTTCATACCTCAGTTGGCCAGCTAATATGTGGGGTGTACATAAGCCCCCCAGGCATGAATCCTGAAAGGGTGAAATGTCCGGACAAAAGAAGCCCAAAACATTATTCTCCATTTGAAGATGATATATAACACGTTTATTCTTACTTGCATGCACTTTCTAAACCAGAACAATGAGGTGAATGGACGTAGAAATTTTTTTTTATAACATGGGGCATATCTTTTTTTCCTGTTTTTATCTCTCTCTCTCTCTCTCTCTCTCTCTCTCTCTCTCTCAAAATATGTTTGGATCTTATTAAGGTCTTTATATTTATAACAATGTTATATTTTGATTTACTTCTATTGATCTTTGATAATTACCTTGCTTTTATGCCCAAAGTGTATTTTGTCTTGCTAAGGAGAAGGGTAAGCCCTAAGCGTATATTGGGAAGGTCTACGAATTTAAAGATGTCGGAAAACACTATGGATTTAATAAAGGATCCGGAGATCCCTAGTGGATTATTAACACATGAAGTTGGAGAGCCATAATGGGTTCTCGACTTGTGGTCGTTGTAGAGCTCGGTAGGTTCTAAATGTATAAGTTGGAGAGCCCCGGTGGGTTCTCGACTCGTTGTCGTTGTGGAGCTCGATATATTTTAGATATATATAAGTCATAGATACCTAGTGGTTCTCGACTTATTGCAGTTCCGCTTTAACTATGTCAATGCATATCCTTGTCATTAAGATTGTTATAGCCCATGTGTGTTTTCGAATTAGCAGTAACCAAATCCTGATAGTTTTTAGATGATCACAGGTTTTGGCAAATTCTGAGTATGTCTTACTTTATTCTTTACATGACCCAAGTGAGTTGGATTCTAATGCCTGAGAATCTTTGATGTGATTAAAATTATATATCTCTCATCCAAGCATTTGTTCATAATCATTTTAGTCATCCTTTTCAGATGTGTAATGTTTGGACGCCTTCCCGATCTTTTGACAATAATATTCAAGCTCTTATGAGACGGTGTTAGTCCTTTTGGTTACATAGCTCTAATATGTTTTATCTCTTTGATAATAATTTATTTGTTTGAATGAAAATCAAATAAAATGGCCGGCTCCAAGCGATTCAACTTGTCTTTTAGCTGAAGTTTGTATTGTATAAGTATGAAGACTCGAGAGCTGAGCCTTAATGATTTGAGGAATCTTGTTAATTTCAAACATAGGCTGGCTAACATTACCCAGCCATAGACGATTATGCCAGAGGATTCAAGTTTCTTTGACCTTAGTTAAGTCATAGGTTTTATTAAACATTACCCAGCCGCAGCCGATTATGCCAGAGGCTTTAAGATTCTTGGACTTTAGTTAGGCCATAGGTTTTATTAAACTTTACTTGGCCACAACTGATTATGCTAGAGGCTTCAAGTTGCTTGGACTTCAGTTAGGCAAGAGATTTTATTAAAAGTTACTCGACCGCAACCGATTATGCCAGAGGCTTCAAGTTGCTTGGAATTCAGTTTAAGGACATAGGTTTCAATTAACTTAGCCCGGACACAACCGGTTATGCCCCTTGCAGATGTCTTAGATCGTTCTCGATCCCTTCTTTTATTGGAGAGTAAGTCTCTTCCAATCTTTGTTCTGACAACTATCCTGCCTCCCATTTCTTAGAAAAGATGAGGTGTCTCCCGCCCTCGCAAGGGAAATGAGCGACATCCATTTGCCTAATATAAGTTTTAAATAAATATTTAATTACAAACGACAGAGAAATTATCTTGCTTTATCCAACAATAAAAAATAAAGTCAAAATGCTAAGCTCTATTCTATGAAGAAGGTTATTACAGTCTGACAACTACACTATTGAAAAACTTCGATGTAGTTATTTTGAATTATTCGCCATTCTTGTCAGTTACATCCAAACATTATGGATATCCAATCCTTTCGGCTTGCTCTGCATGCCATTAGTTCCACATAAAATACACACACACACACACACACACACACACACAATAGGGATCAGTAGTATGCAGTGTAGGACACACAACCTGCAAAAGTTGATGATTCGTTTCAATCCAGCAAAATCATGTACAGGGTGATTTTTTGGGACATGTATCAAAGAAAGTGTGTTTTCAAGAATATCATAATCATCATAAATCACAAATAAAATGGTAACTTGTTCAAATATGATGATGGTCATCATTCTCATATTGGTTTGCAGTAGAGTTAATGGTTGTAGTAGGAAGGATTCTAGATGCCAATACAAGAAAAACGAGTATTTGCAGCGACAAAGGTTGTTGAGAAAAACACGAAGTTGCTGCGAAATGTGTTTTTTGCAGCGAAAAATGTCGTTGGTACAAGTGTCGTTGCAAAAAGTTTTGCAACGGTATTTGATGTCGCTGTTATAAGTAATGTTTTTACAACAATAATAATTGCTGCCTTATTTGAAAGAACGCAATGACATAATCGTTACGAAAAGATACTTTTGTCAATAACTAAAAATGGTGTCAAAAATTATTTTTGTTAACAATATGAATTCTTTCTATATCTTTTATACCTTAACTAATTTTTTTTTTAGAATAGATTATATTTCCCAATATCTTATGTGATTTAATGAAAATATAATTATATTTTTTTTAACTCTTTTTAAAATTAGTATCTTTCACATTTATAATTAAAATTGTCATTGTTATTTAAAAATTAATAATTTTACAATATAAATCATAATATTGTTGATGTAATTTTTTTTCAATAAACCTAAACAATAATTAATAAAATATTAAAATATAAAATATAAAAAATTATCCCAAATAACATAAAAATTTAAATACCTAAAAAAACATTATAAACTAAAAAATAATAAACGGCGTTGTTCACATAAAAATTAAAATTTCATATTTAACAAATAAAATTACGACTTCCATCATCATGAACATTAGTTCTTCTTTACATCATTGCTTCGAAGCTTTCTCTGCGAAGTAGTTGAAACACGCTTATTCGACCTACAATTTTAACACAATTGAAAATTATTGAACATGTTTGTTTTTGAATATATATTTTTTACAAAGAAAAATACTAATACATTAAAAAGCCACGTCTAAGTATAAGATGTGCAAAGATGCACAAATCTTCAAAGCTCATAGTCACAAAAAGACACTTTTCAATTGCTCTTAGAGTAACAATATTGCTCAAAACCTTTTCCATAAAACATAAGTAACATCTCATAACACTGTATGTCAATAAAAATTCTATAGAACACACATAGACCAAATTATCATTAAATATAACTTTTCTAACAAATTAATCACACTTAACCATTCAAAGAAGAATAAAAACAAAATAAGAGAATTTTTATTACAAATATAATAAAATGCAATATATTCAGTTGCAATTCCATCTCAAAAAATTTTAGTACTAAATTTATCTCAAATTTCAATAATCATGTGAAGTATTTTAAAATTAAGAAAAAATAGTGGTTTGTAAGAATGCAGGCACACGATCGTCGCTTTACTTTATGAAAGTTTTGTGCCATATAACATCATTAATTTCAATAACATAATTAAACACCTCAACTCCAAATAAAATTTATATCACATACGCGAGAAGTTAGAAAACTTTACTTACAATTTGTCTGTAGTCATGTTATTAACTTTATAATCAAGTTCGAGAGTTATATACAGTGTATTAGAAGATTGTCCACCCTATAAAAATATTCAAAATCAGACCAATGACATATTCAATATAGTAAATCAAAATAAACTTATTATATGAAACTACTAATTTACTATACTTTATGCTAAAATAAACATTTATATACATACTTGAAAACTTGCCATTTGATAAAACATAGTTGTCAATTTTTCTTCAAACTTTTTCTCCATTTTTTCTTCAAGTTATCTTTGACTCTCTTCAAACTTTGAAGTCATTTCTTCCCTCATTTTAGTCTCTTCTTGAAATTGAGTCTCTACATCTTTTAGTTTCATTTCTATGACATGCCTCTTTTCACACTCTTTTTCTAATTCTTTATGTAAGCCTGTAATAAATTTATCCTTTTGCGGCTTAATTCCAACTCCTAATCCATGACTATATCTCGATCTTTCTCCTACAATTAATTTTAAAGAAATTTTCATAAGCTCGTCTTTATCGCCGTTCACGTATTCGGCTTCTTCAAAATCAGAATAAGCTTCTCCAACCCTCGTCTATTTAAAAATGTCGACAATTATAATTAGAAATAAGAAATTAGTCACAATTATATATAAGTCACAATTACAAATCAGATAATAAGTTATACATGAACTTCCTTAGAAGCATCATTTATCCATTCTCCATTACTATTTGTATGGGTCATTCGCTACAAATCTTTAAAGTTTGGCTCTTTTTGAGTTTCTGGATCTCTCTATGAACAAATTCATATCATCACAAAAATAAGTATTTATTAGTCATCAATTAAATGAACAATATACAAAAAAAAAATTATTTCATAATGGTATTGTTTACCGCATCATAGCTAACACCTTGAAATGACTTTCTTTCACATTTATGATTGATAACTTGTTTAATTTTATTTAATTTGTTCCTTCCACCAAACAGAAAAAGATTTCACTGAATTTTCACACTCTGCCAAGACCTTTTCCTCAACAAACCTGTATCTACCTCTTAACACCTCCTTCTAAAAATATTTTTTGTCTTCCAAGATCTTCCACTTCCACTTAGAGAGGAGGGCATAATTGAAATCGGCCAAGCCAATGATTCCTAATCCACCTTTCTCATTAGGACTGCAAACAAGATAACCAAAAAATTGCTAAACCTGATAAGATGGAGTTAATCAAAGTTACTCGACCTGCCAATGAAAGAAATTTCCCTTTCCGACTTGCCAATTTGTTTTTAAAAATATTGACTAAAAAGTCCCAGGACTTGATTCTTATGAGATTGCACCCAATGTGAATACCCAGAAAGCAAAAAGAAGGTTGATCAATTTTGCACGCTAAGAAGTTCGAAGCTGCCGCAAAGAAATTAGGGTTGACATTGATGCCAATGGCCCTAGTTTTATGGAAATTCACCTTTAAACCCGAAATGAGCTCGAAGCCTCTAAGAAGAAATTTAATACACCATGAGTTTTTCCAGCTTCCTTCTCCAATAATGAGTGTATCGTCTGCAAATTAAATGAGTTCCAGCGAAAAGTTAGAGTACACTTCAAAACCCTTAAAGGCTCCATTGACAGTAGGATTTTTCATCAATTAAGGAATCCTTCATAAACTAAAACAAATAAGAAGGGAGAAAGAGGATCTCCCTATCTTAGGCCACGCACCATAGTAATTACTTTGTAGGGCTACCGTTCAACAAGATGGACAAATGATAATTGAAAATGTAAGCTTCCATCCACCTCTTCCATCTACTTCTAAATCCCATAGTATCGAGCAAGGATTAGAGAAAATTCCGGTTTACACAAATCATACGCTTTCTCAAAGTCCACCTTGAAAAGAATACAACCTATACAATCCCTAGTCGCCATACCCACAATTTCATTAGCAGCAAAAAACCCTTCAAGCATTCACCGTCCAGGAACAAACGTCGTCTGACAATGCGAAACAACCCCACCGATCACCTTCTTTAACTTGTTCGCCAAGAGTTTCGCCAAGCGTAGGGCCAATCTTCCATACCTTCTAGGGGACCAAAACTCTTCCTCCTAGCTACATTCCCATCCTTGGAAGGTTGATTGACCCTACAAAGTTTAGAATCTCCCTTGTGTTCAACTTTCCCTCTAGAGAATATGGGAATGTTAGCATGAATCTTCACATTGTCTATAAAAATGTTATCAAGTTTGACTGTGAGAACCTTTCCATCTTCAACCTCATAAATACTAGTGAAGCCAAACCGCTTTCCAAACTTGTTCCTCTTGGAAGGAATCACCACTTCTGAGATCTTGCCATACTTTCCAAACAGATGAAAAATCTCCCGTGCCTTTACTCTGTCTAGTATCTCCGAAAAGTAGAAAGATTGGATATGCAAACATTTCTTATTTTTCTATTTTGGACATAAACATCTCAATAATTTATTTAAAAATAAATAATTCTTTTCAGCGACAATGAAATTGTTGCAAAAAGTAATTTATTACAATGACTTAAATTAGTCATTGTTATATATATTAAAAATTTTATTATGTTTAGCAAAAATGTGATATTTGAGAGCGAGAGAAAGTTATTACAATGACTTATATTAGTTGTTGCAATATGCATATTCAAAATTTGTATGATTTCCCGTAATAATAATAATAGTTGCGATAAGTAACTTTTTCTAATGATAATAAAATTGTTGAGAAAAAATAGTTTATTACAAAAACTTAAATTAATTGTTCCTATATGCATGCCTTTGTCAGGAAAAAAGAAAATGGGTGCAGTTATAACGACTTTGATCTTACTTGCTCAGACAAACACAAAACACTAATTGAGCTTCTTTCCAGTTTCACTACCTGATCAGAAAGGAGTTAGTAGCCTGACACGCGTCATGGGTTACTGCCTTCACCGGTGTTGTAGAAGAGAACAGGGTGTACCTGCAAGATGCTCCGATGCTTAAGTGAGTAATGGAACTAGAGAGAAAGCAAGTACTGAAAAAATGTGTAGTGAATAAGATACCTGACCCTCTAGTGAAATAGGATATTTATAATGTGCCCCCAGTGCAGGGCCAATGATTACATTGTATTGGGCCGGATTGCCAAGCCCAACATAAGTAACTGCCAGGGCTTACATGGCATAGCGAAGACCAACACGTGTTATTTGTCTTGTATCAACTGCCCCGTGATCTTCTGAAGGTGGTTTTACCATCTCTTTTGGAAGTGAGGAGTTGTCTGATGATGTATCCCCTCGTGGGGGACACGTGGAAGACATGGGGAAATTGCGTGGGCTCTCCTCGTGCCAAGTAGTGGTCTACCCGACTGAGGAGCCTTGTTGAGAGGCATTCCCGACATGGGAGGATTAGGCCTTGTTGGGCCTCCCAACATAGTGTTGGATTGGGCCTGCCCGACTGGGGGTCGCATGTGCGGCCAGAAGTGATAGATATCTGGCGATAGAATGTCAGAGAGGTGGAAAAGTGAATGGATGTGATCGTTCTCTAGGCATGAGGGAAGCTGAGGGGACTCTCGTGGTGTCCCCTAGAGCCACGTGTCACATGTAATTAATGCCTAGGAGCGGCTACGCGTAGGGGCACTTGAGTGCCTAGTGTATCCTCGCTTCTTGTGTCAGGCTTATAAATAGGGGGAAAGCCCCCTCTCACTTATAAATATGTAGTTCTATAAGTTTTCCGGTAAGTTATGAATTTCCCGGTGTGTCTCATGAAGTTTCCGGCCAAGATATGAAGTTTCCAGTGAGGACGCTGGGAACTTCATGAGGATTTTGGGATCTTCATGAAGATACCGATGAATGCCCCGAGGACCTGCGATGAAGGTCCCGGAGATCTAGGATACTGCCTCAAGGAGCTTAGCTCCTCGTAATTGTGCGGCTGTCGCAGGGAGGTTCACTTAGGATCTCCCTGCACGTGTCGGGGTCACCTCGATTGGGGAGCCTCACTGTCGGAGAGGCTTGCCGCGTAGAGTTATTGTCAGTTTTCTTTTAGGAGGAGCCTTCATCAGGGAGGGTGCCCATTGTCCTCGGGTCTCCCCGTCTCTCTCTTTCCTATTTCACTTGACTTGCGGCTGAAGGGTGAATATGATCTTGGAGTCGAATTCACTGTTTTCCTCTACTTTTCAGGTAAAATGATTGTAAGGATTGAAGGCATTATCCATGTTGATGATGAGTCCGAGCCTGACGCTCCCATTGAGGTCGAACAAGATGCACCCGTTCGTACGCCCGTGGACTGGGTCGTGCAGGAACGTCTAACTATAGCCTCGCGTTGCACCGTTGATGATACAGACGCCTTCGCGATTGTCGAGGACCGTCTGGAAGGTTCCTCCGCGAGTTGGATGGTGTATAAACCCAAATAAAGATATCACATCTGCTCGAGCTTCTGGGAGATGGGGTTTTCTATGTACGATTTTGTATTTCCCGAGGCGGGGATGTTCTCCCCTTTAGTGATTTCCAAGGGGGCGTGTTCTGGTGGCACCCTCGCAGCTGCACCCAAATGCCATAACGTTCGTGGGGGCATTTGAGCTCGTCTGTGAGTATCTTTGTATTGGGGCCACTCTTCCTCTGTTCTTTCGTACCTTCCACCTTCAACACTAATCTTTCGAGGGCAGGCATAGTTAGGTTGAAGCAGTCGAGGAAGTTGTTTCGGGCATACCAAGATTCTGTCCACTCCTTCAAGGACAAGTTTTATATCGTGAAGCCCGTGTCGCACGCGGTTGTCGATTCATTGTATGACCTTACGGTCACGGAAGAGAATGGGAGGCATGAGGAGACCTTAGTGTCGAAATTTCTACTTGAGTGGGTCAAAGACCACTTCCTCCTGGGTACCGACAGCTATATTATGAGGCATGTCGACCTGGATTTTGACGACCGACTAGCTTACCAAAAAGATGGTCGACTTCGTGTCCGACTTCACCCCTGTCAAGTGTCTTATGAAGGACGGGAATTTCATCCTCGACGAGCGTAGGGAGATCTGTCGTGAGGCTCGACTGATCAATACCAAGGCTCTCCTTGAGTGCGGGTCCCGCGAAGAGGCCTTGAGGTTTTTAGGTAATGACACTTTCTTTTGGCGGAGTGTCTGCCCCTTTTCTTTTGTTACTAACTTTTGTTTCTCTTTTTATTGCAAGCAAGATATCAAACGCGCAAGAACGCATTTTGAAGCTCGCAGCGACAAAGGCGGGGAAGAAAAGCAAGAGAAGAGTTTCCCAAGTCCAGTAGATGGGGAAGCCCAACTAGGGAGCCAACGGTTCTTCCTCTCCTCAGTG